CCCCAAAACCCCAAAACCCCAAAACCCCAAAACCCCAAAACCCCGTGATAAATGGTTTATATTGAAGTAGTAATGGAGGATTATTTTGTTGCGATGATTACGATTTGTTCAAAATCTGGGATTTCTGGTGAGTCTGGGCCGAACTGGGTATCAAAATCTATACTAACCTTGTTCCAAAGATCTTCTTTTGTGGCATCATCAAAATCTTTCTCTTCAGCATACATATCAAAGCTTCCTTTGACCATAAAATTAAGGAAATCTTCTGGGTTTTTTGACGCAAATGGAAGATTTACAACAAATGTTTTGCAGATCTTAAATCCCGCAGCAAGAGTATCCTTTCTTAATTGCACAGGATCACTTATTTCAAATGATTTTGCAATAGAAGGGTCTAGGCTATAATCATAGCCATGCTTTTTCAAAGATTCTTCAAGAAATGTAAAACATCTACATCTTGATCTATCGCCCCATACTGTGAATCCAGCCTTTGATTCTGGCTTGAGCACTCTGTATGCTTCCAAAAGTTGGTTGTGATGATTATTCACAATATGTAAAGACAGGTTAGATATGTAGCAATCGAACTCTTCGTCTGGAAAAGGTAGCTCTTCATTATTAGCTTTGAGTATAGCAATCTTCTTTTTATCATCTTCAGGCAAGATCTCTGTGTATGTATCTTGATATTCAGCATCATATCCTGTTACGCTTAAGTTCTTTTTAAAAATCTCAATCATCTTCTCACTGATGTCAGTGTTGATATAAATAGCTCCTTGTTTCATGAAACTCTGTGTAAACATTTGAGAACTCCTACCAGTTCCAACTCCAACCTCAAGTATTTTATTGCTAAATTTGTGACTCTCACTTACCATTTATCCGCAAGAGTTTGATGATAAAGAATCATTGCTCCTTGACAAGTATTTACCTCAGCCACCTAAACTACTCATTTCCTCTCCTTACCTCTACAAAACAAAAAGTCAAACACATAATCTCCTTCCACCCCTAAAAACTCTACTCTTCACCCAACCCCCTCCTCCATTCTTCCTTCCCTCCATTCACCTGGCTAAGAAGTCTTAAGTACTTCAGCCACGATCAGATTAGGCTAAGTGGGGTTTCAAATGAGGATTAGATAAGTAAGAGTCTGGAATTTGACTGGTGGATTTTGGGAACTTGGGTGGTACGTAATAGATGTGGGCTAGTGAAGATAATCTTATAACAAATAAAACCCTTCCAAAACATTAACCCCCAACTGCCCTACCCCATTCTCCTCTCCCAACCCCCAAACTCACTCTGAAAAAACTCTGCCATCTGATCCCACTCCTGCTCAATCTTCCTACTAGACTCTTGATCTACCTCCTTCTTCTCCATTTTCAATTAAAACAACTTCTCCTGGGGTTTTGGGGTTTTGGGGTTTTGGGGTTTTGGGG